CTTTCCTCGCTAAGCGTACCTCCAGGAACCGTTTCAAACGCTTCAATCAGGTAGTGGTATTTCAGAATTTCCGATATATTTCCTTCTAGCAAACACAGCCAGCTATGCGTCTTTCTAAAGGCGGTCCTGTTACGCTGCTATACGTCAAAACATGTATCTGTCTGCGTGTCTACTACTCAAAAGTCCGACGTATAGTTTTCAGTAGCTTGATGACTTTAGGAAATGTCGCAATAAACTTTACCATAATTGGTAACAAGTTCTAGCGTACCTGATTCGAAGCTTGTTAGTTTTTTTGTGGAATCGTCTTTTGGAACCTGTTTTGCCTGAAAAAAATAAGGGCTGCCGTATTTCTTTGCCATAACTGTGTTCATACTTTCCTAGCTAAACTTTCTAACTTCTCATCTAATAGCTCAATCTTCTCATACTTTTTTGCTTTTTTCCCCTTTCTTAGGCTTTAAGAACGAGCGATGGCGGCCTCATTACATTATGTAGAATACAATGGTGTTGGGTATTGCTTCGGGAGTTCGATAAATAGTTTTAGCTAGTTTCGCTGATACCCTGTTGACATGTTATCCAGATTCGAAAGTTTTTTTTTTTACCTCAGGACAACTTTTTAAAAAGTGAGCCGCTCATTCGCAGAGCTCTTCCTTCTACTGTTAATCTTACTGTTGGTTTGATTGCTTTGAAAGTTTCATGAAAAAATGGAAATGGGTATTAAATGATTGTGGAGATTTTTTGGTCTGGGTTATGGCTAGGCCTTTGTATTCCCTTCTCCTGCTACTCTGATGGATGTATGCTGTAAAAATTTCATGTTGATGGTGCGTGGAGTACAGCCTTGACACTGAAACAATTTCGCAATTTCTATTTAGTTTCCGGCGAATTTTCTCTCATGTGGTGCTCCTTATAGATACGCGATGCTGCAGAACAGGATGCTGAAGCAGCCTCTCGGCGTGTTGAAGAAGATGCATATGATCGTGAAAGGCAGTTTCAACGGCAACGTCAACAGCAACTGAATTTGAATGAATTCAAAGAACGACAGCAGGTCCTTAGTCACTCTTTATGGCTAGCTTGTCTTTTGTAGCTCGTTGAATGTCTGAAAATAGCAGTTAGAGTTAGTGGTCTAGATTCACCTTTTGTAGCGCAAGTCCTCCTTGTAGGATTCCATATTCTATGCTTTATCGTACTTTTTTCGATGAGTGGATGAAAATAGGTTTCCATAGAAGTTCTGCGCACAGTTAGTGATTGGGCACTCACCCGAGACTTGCGTGATAAATGCCGGATTTTAAATGTAGATTTGAGCCATTCTTGACACGTAGTTCCGCTGATAGATGAACGGCTCTTCATTTGTTCATATTTCAGGCTTTGCAGCAGCTTGAACAGGATATCGGAGACGTCAATCAAATTTTCGCTGATCTAGCGCGTATAGTTCATGATCAAGGAGATATGGTTGATAGTATTGAAGCGAATGTAGAGCACGCTCAAATTCATGTGGAGCAGGTTAGTACAGTACCGCATGTCTTCTTCTGTGTGTGACAGTGGAGTGCAGTTGAAGTGAAGATAGGTGGCATCACTTACTATTGCGTCGTGCCAAATCAAATCCCGAAATGGACGACCTGCCCAATTAAATT